TATTCTTGTTTTGGTATGTTTTGATTTTCTAGGTTTTTTTTTACTTGCAATTGAAAATTTTTTTAGACACAATGGTAAAAAAAATTATCACTTTTATTGACAATTTCCATGCAAAACAAAGCCAAACGAATGAGGTATGGTAAATTTTTTTTTTTCAAATTTTTTTTTGACAATGAAAATAAATTTAACACAATTAATTACAATTTCTAGTAAAACATTTTCTAAGAAAATCAATTCCCTATAAAATATTTTATTTCCACCAATTTTTCACCCTTGCAATCGGCCCTGAATGTTAAGCTGGACATGTCCTACTCAAAGATTGGACCACTCATGTCCTGCCAAATCACACTCTGCAGATTTGCCCCAATCCCCCATGGTACAGCTCTTCCTAAACACCAGGCAACGGATATTGGAACCACGCTTCACTTGTTGTACATAGGTTTGGGTATGGTTTGAGTTGGATTGATTTTGAGTGGAACTCAAAATTAAAATCGACTTGATTGATTTGATTAAATTGATTAATCAAATCAAATCGATTTGGATCAGTTTGATTTGATTAATCAATTTGGAATTGATACGAGTAAAAAAATATATATTTCTATATTGGGTTAAAAAATTTGTTTTTCTTTAGCCTTGGTTTCACATTATTTTTTTCATTCTTATTTTTCTATTCATTTCAAACACACATTTTTTAATAAAATAATATTTTTCATTACATCAATAATTTTTTTAAATCACATATTCCCCATCACATCAATAGTAAAAATATATTCTCACCTTCAAAATGTGCACCTTCTTTTTCTACCACATATTCATCATCACATCAACAGTAAAAATGTATTCTCACCTTCAAAATGTGCACCAAATGGAGGCTATACATATATATTTTTTTCTTGCGCAGTGCATATCAATAGTATATATAATGTAAATGGTAAATAATCGATTATCCCAAAATCATCATATATATAAATCAAAAAGTTATCATCAAACAATTTCACCAAAATGAAAGCAATGCTACAATCTAAAATTCGAAGTTTGCTGCATCGAACACTTCTTCTTCTTGCTTTCTTTCTTTTCTTTTGATATATGGAGTTTTAGTAGAAAAAAATATAGACGGTAAACAAATTATTTGAGAAAAAAATTATATTTGTGTTTTTATTATTTTGTTTTTTACGTTTAAAAAAATGAATTTAAAATTTTTAAAAATAAAAAAATTGTATTAATGGGTTGGGTCGATTAATTGATGGGATGGTTGCTTAAACCGAAATCAACGGCCAATCCAACCCGACTTTTTAATGCTTGCTTCCACCTTGATAGGCGATCATTTAATCAATTGAGTTTCAATCCTGAATAATAAGGAATTTAGTGTTGAGTGTATGTGGAATAATCGACCCCGAAAGCAATAATTTTTATTTGAGAGCCGAATCCTATCCAAACCCGACGAGATAGTTGTACATCACATGGCTCACACCAACTTTACTTGCCCTCATGCTTGTGGAATTGGAAGATGCCCCAATGATACTACTTTAGGAAAAAATGTAAAATTTATATTATTGTGTAAATTTTTTGATTTGACTTGCAGACTTTTTATCTCATGCGATAAAAGTGTTTTTTGATACATAATAATTTTATAATTAATTAAAGTTTGATTTTACAGCTAGAAGTATGGTTTTCAATTGGTTCAATTCGGTTAGGATGATCCAAAATATTTTAAGGCTCTGTTTGGTACCCATTATTCTCATTCTTCTACTCATTTTCAACCACACATTCTTCAATAAAATAATATTTTCCATCACATCAATAACTTTTCCTTCATTTTTAACCACACATTCTCCATCAATCTACTATTCAATAATACATTCTTTCAAAAGAATGTGTACCAAACACACTCTAAATCCTTGTTTGGCGGAGATTAAAATCAGATTTTTAATAATTTTTTTATAAAAATTGATGAAATGTATGTTAAAAACTTGTGAATTTCATTAAATATATGTTCAAATAACTTTAATAAAAATTTAGATTATATTTTCTATAAACATGGCTAAATGTAAGTATATATGACATCAAAAAATTGTTTTCAGTAAGAGTAAACTTCAAGAATCAATCACGGGCAGCAAAATACTCCAGTACCACCCCACCCAGCAATATACTGACATAAAGATGTTGTAAACAAATTTATATGAAAAAGCCTCTCTGGTTGGTTTGTCAGCTTCCTACCTTTTTTCACCTCATAGAAGTAAAGAACAAAGCAAAAGAAGAGAAGCCCAGTTTTTGTAGTTCATCAATATCCATTATCCTGATGTCAATATATTGTTTTTGACAGAGATTGCTATCCGATCCATGTCGACTCAGTCTCCTGAGATGTTAATCCAACTGTGATACGGCAAAAGAAAATGTCGGCTTCTCTTGTCACATTTGAACGCCCTCGTATTGGAAATTCAAACACTGTAAGCTTTTTGCTCTTCTTGTTTAGGAAATTCTAATATTTAGTTATTTTTTCCGTTTCTATTGTTTTATTTACATTTTTCATTTTCATGTGGGAAAAGAAAAGGAATAAGAAAAAGTTGGGTCTTTGTCAAGTCAAGTATAGTCATATGATTGTCAAATAGAGTTGTAATTTGTCACTGAAGTTATTCATTGTAATTAATGGGGTCAACCTGTTGTGTGATTATTCTTCTGGGCTGTAATTAATCTCGAATATTTTTATATTTGTGAGGATTTACAGATTTTCAAGAGCGGGCATCTTCTCATATCTTCCAAAGGTCAGTGCTTTTGGCCTTGCAAATAAGATACTGTAGATGTTAAGAGTGAATATAGTGTTAACTTTGAATTTGCAAATTTTTGCACAAAGGCGTGTGACTGTGTGCCACATTGGCATTTGATGACTAATTCATGGGGGTTGGTAGCATTGAAGTTCAATTGGTGTGACATTTAGTATGCATAGGACATGATTAAATTTTAATTTACAAAAAACTTACACAAGCGCTCATGCTAGACTGCTAGTACACGATAGAGTTGCTGGTTCGATTGGATTAGTTTACACACGCGCCTGTCTTTGTAGAGTTGGATACAAAAAATGTTATCTTACTCTTGTTGTTATCAATACTGGTCTTGCTATGTGTTCATGTACCTCAATTTCTTGCAGGCTTAGGTTGGAATACGTGGAAGAAGCGATGGTTTATCCTTACGCGTACTTCTTTGGTTTTCTTCAAGAGTGACCCGGTTGGTTTACAAGTGTGCCTTGGGTTTTTTTATCCTTTGATATGTCAACACAGTGAATTTGTGTCTCGGTATTTTAAATGCTGATTTCATGTAATTAAGCTATTGATACTTTTGGGTCAGTCTCGTATCAAGTTCATTGCGATTGAACATCACAACCGTGCTTTTTTTTTTTTTTCTTTTTTCAGAATTTACTTCAGCAGCGAGGGGGTGAAGTAAATCTGACTCTAGGGGGCATTGATTTAAATAATTCAGGGAGGTATGAACCAATAGCACATACTTATTACCTGTTTATGGGCAAGTGCCTGTGTTGTTACGTCTCCCTCCTTGTGTGTCTTGTGTTTTTCTCTGCGTCTCCTGCAATTTCTTTGTATTTTCTTGTGTGCAGTGCTGTTGTTCGAGAAGATAAGAAGCTTATAACTGTTTTGTTTCCTGATGGACGTGATGGACGAGCATTTACTCTTAAGGTACATGCTGGATTAGATACTCTCTCTTTTCCCTTTCTGTTTTAAGTTCTTCCAATATTTTTTTACTTGTTAATTAGCTGCTCTTTATTTTTTAACTTTCAGGCAGAGACATTCGAGGATTTGTGTGAGTGGAAGACAGCCCTTGAACATGCTCTTGCACAAGCACCAAGTGCTGCTCTTGTGATGGGACATACTGGGATATTTAGGAGTGACACTAATGAAACAATTGAAGGATCTTTCCCTCAATGTTCGTACATTGTTTTGATACAGATTTCCTCCTTCCACTAATTCCATGCAAAGTATACCTGCTTATTGCCGAAATCCTTTTGGATGCAGGGAGAGATAAACGTGTGGCTAAGTCTTTGGTAGTTGGACGGCCAATTTTGCTCGCATTAGAAGATATAGATGGAGGCCCATCCTTTCTTGAAAAAGCACTTCGATTTCTCGAGAAGTATGGTAAGTTGTTGTATTACAATTTGTATTCTGGTCTGGAGCATCAATTCAAAATGGTATCTGAAGCTATTTTAATATCTCATGCACGAAAATCTTGTGGGATAGGTTTCCTGCACCTGTCCATTTCTTATAGTGTTTGCCTGAGTTCGCACCATCACTTTTGGATTAATTTAAAACTGATTACCTGCGAGTAATTTATACGTTTACCTCATAAAAAAGCTTGATTACTTTGAGGCTTTCATATTTTTGAACTATTTTTTTTTTTTTTTAAATCTAAAAGTGCTTTTAATTTTTTAATTAGTTTGGATACCATCTATCACATATTATATGTAACTTTAACTTGCTTGATTTATTGTACCAGTTTTGAAGTAAAACGCTAAAATATGTATCACGATACCTAAATGGCTCGTAGCCGACTAAAGGCTACAAGACTGCATCCAATGTTTAAAAAGGTGTACCTGGCTACGGAGGCATTTTTCCATCGTGAGAATACCAAAATAAACCTGTAATAACGATAAACAATCTTGGAAACAATTAATAGAATAAACACCAAAATATCAAAAAAGTTATATTAAATTGCAATCTGCAGTTTTGCACATTATCATGTAATCTGCATCATGGTTTAGAGAGGCACCAGAAAGGTGCACCTCAAATTGAGGTGCAATTTTTAAGGAACATTTTTATATTTTGTTGTTTCTTCTATTAATTGTTTCCAAGATAGTTTATTAGATTTTGATATTTTTTTAAAATTTTAGTTTTTGGTGAGGCTTACGTGTAGCCTCACGAAGGAAAAACATCTCAGTGCTTAGTTATGCCTTTTTAAACATTGATTTGCATAATACATGCACTATAAAAAAGTTAAAACTTTCCTAAACTAAAAAAAAGGATCATTTTTTCAAAAGAAGAACCAAACATGCTCACACATAAGAGATAAAAGCAGCTGCCAGAGTAAAAAATGAAAAAGACTGAAAAAAAAAGAAAAAAGAGTAACCTTCTGGAGATATAAGCATAAATTGAAAACAAAAAAAGAAGAATCGAATAACATAAACAAAAGAGTTAAAAAAAAATTTGGTGTCAAAATAAAAGCACAAAGAAGTAAGAAAATAAAAAGAAAAAATCTTTTTTGAATTTTGCGTTGTCTTGGGAACTGGTTAGCTGGTAGGCGTGAAGCACTATAATTGCAGTAAATATTTGTCTTTTCTTGTCTTGGGTGAGGTTCATATATTATAACAGTCCCTTTATAGCTGACATTACAATTAGGTCAAAATATGAAGAAGGAATTGAATTTTTTAAAAGAAAATACGAGTTAAACATCTTTCTTTAAAACTCATGTTTAACGCATTTTTAACTATTTTCGATATCTGTTTGGATTATTTGATATGCCTATAAATATAATGTAGTTCTCGAAATAAATTTTGAGATGATATAAGCAATTTGTAGATTCAATTAGCGTACGATCGTTGAAGAATTTTTAAAGTTAGCGTATTATCGAAATTTTCGAAATACTAATTTTGAACGGCTTACTTTGACAAATCGTAGCATTTGTTACGATTGATTATTTCGTACGCCATTAACGACTTAGAAAATTAGATCGTGAACACTTCGAAATGGTATTAAGAATGCAATATTCCGCCTTTATTTGATGAAGAGTTAAAATTTTGTTAAAAGGCGAAGAAAACGAGAAAAATTAAAATTTATTATGATTTTACCCCTTGTTTGATGGAGATTAAAATCAATTTTTTAGTAAATTTTGATAAAAATTAAATAGTTATGGATTCCATGAAATATGTTATTAAAATTAATTGTTAATTTTGATTTAAATTTTAATCGATATCAAACATGATTTTATATATTAAAAAAAAAAAAACTCAAAAGTTGAGGGGGGGGCACGTGCCCCCTAGGTCCGCCCATGTCTGTATATAAACAGTTATGTTACTGCTTATATACAAGTAGCATTATTCAATATCACAACAACTTTTTGTGAGTATTTTTGAAGGTGTACGCCCTTTAAGGCGTGCGCCTCAATAATCTGACTCGTCGGTCCTCTCAAATTGCCTTAAATTGAGCCTCAAATTGAGGCGTGCGTCTCTAGCGAGGACATCAAGTTGACAGCCTATGAGCTCGAAGAAGAGAAAATTCAAGAAAATGCTACTTCGAAAAATTACCTGAACACGTGAACCATTCATCCACGATCCATTTGGTTGATTGTGTTTCCCCTTTATGGATAACGGAATTTAAAATCACACCTTGTATATAGGGTGTAATTACCCTTCGCATATCACATTTCAAGTACAAAGAAGAGAAAATTCAAGTCGTTGCTACTTTGGGAAATTACTTTGTTCATGTGCAGCCTTTCATCCGTTTGGTTCTTTGTGTTTCCCTTCCCCAGGGAAAAAATATAGTGTTTTTACTGCTGTTTTCATCAATGTTGACAACATATTCCGTTGAGTCTCTGTGAATAAAATAGGAAATATTTTAGTAAACACACCTTTTATATAGGGTGTAAGTATACTTTGCATACAATACTTTTTAAGGATTTCGATTTACATACTACTATATGTAAAGCATAAACTTTCCTGTTTTTTGGATGGAGACTTGAATGAAATATGTCGTATGTTAACACTTACGAAACAATAGTACGAAAATAGCAATTTTTGGAAACATGACATGCCGAGTCACAAGTGTGTGTAATATATAAATTCCTTTTAAAAATCATGCAGGTCTTCGTCTAACAGTAGATGGCTATTGGAGTCTTAGGTCCGGCTTGTTTTTCTAAGGGCCTATTTGATAGGCCATTATTTTCCATGGAAAATGGAAAACAAATTCCAACTTCCACTTTTGCCTTATTTCACACTTTTTTCCATGAAAAAAACTTTATTGGTTTGGCTCACACGCTCACATTTTTCTTGGTTTTGTGGAAATTGATTTTTCAGCTTTTTTCCTTGGCAATTGGAAAAAATTCTAGACACGATGATAAAAAAAATTATCACTTTTATTGACAATTTCCATGTAAAACGAAGCCAAACGAATGGTATTCAGTATGATAATTTTTTTAATTTTTTTTTTGCAATTGGAATAAATTCTAGACTCAATGGTAGAAAAATTATCACTTTAATGGACAATTTTCATAAAAAAAGAAGCAAAATGGACACCAAACTTTCAACATTCTCCAAATGAAAAATTATATCAATTAAACATAATTAATTACAATTCACAGCAAAACAATTTCTAGGTAATTCAATTCCCTGTAAAACATTTTCTTTCCACTCATTTTCCACATTTACTATCAAACGGACCTTAAGTGTTTTGTTCTAGGGGTGTTGAAGTCGTTGTATTTGGTGCAGCAACCCGGGGGGGTTGGAGGGCTATGGTGATTGTGGGATATCATTTGAAAATTTAGGCGCCTTTCAGGTCTAGGGAGAGGAGCAAAAGACCAAGTTTTCACTGGCTTATTTTTAAAAGATGACCCCAGCATGAGCATGGGACAAACTGTTTAAAATCTTTTTATTAACACTTGGTATTCATTGCCATACAACTTTGTGAATTGTGATAGCTGAAAGAAGATAAAGTGGGGGCATTTAGTCATGGTTTTAGCGAGCCATGCAAAGTTTAATCCAGGATACAATTTTCCAATTATTACCTCAAAAAACCACAAAGGCAAGATTTCTTTTAGGCTTCCTTTAGTGTGTATATTCTGATTGTGGACTACTTTTTTCAGGAGTTAAAGTAGAAGGAATTCTGCGGCAGTCTGCAGACACCGAGGAAGTAAATCGAAGAGTGCAAGAATATGAACAAGGTTTTTTCTTTTCTTTCTTTTTTTTTTATGGTTTTTTGATACATTGATTTTTGTGTTTTTTGAATTTTCAGAAAATACAATTATCATGTTGGTTATTACATTATTCAAATCAACGGATTGATTGCATTTGTCCAGTTATATACTCGAAGAATTCTTTTTTATAACATTATATTTTGCTTTATTCAGAAAATACAATTAGCCATGCTGGTTTTTACTTTTTTCAAAGCAACATGACTGATTGCATTGGTTGAGTTATATACTCCAAGACTTCTTTTATATATCAGTATAAATGCATTAGGTGTTTAGATTTTTGCTTTTGGTCAATGATGACTCTGGTGCATGTTTTTCGCTTATAATTTTCGGATTTTCTCTTTGAATGATAGGAAGAAATATGACCCTAACCTGGTGAAGTGGGATATGTGATGATTGTGAATTTTAGCAGAAACGAGGTCTATATGGTAAATTATCTAGTTTAATGGAAGAGTTTCTCTTTAGACAAGGTTGACTGAGAGGCTATCCAAGATACGGATAATGTGTTTTCAGTAATTAACAGCATGTACAGAGATCATTGGCCTGTAGCCTCTCTAAAGTTTGACAATATATATCAGACATCTGTTGTTTTCTATGCATGCTCTTGTTTTTTATCTTTTTGTTGTCAAAAATCCATGTTATGAAGTAAAAAAATAAAATCTTCTTCAATTTTCTTATCATAACTTGCATATTTGAAAAAATCCCTACTTTTATTCTTGTAGCACATTTGAGTTCTGCGAAGGAAAAAATCTGTACTTTATACTTTTAGCACATTTGAGTTCTGAGAAGTGGACTTTTGTCCCTCAGGAGAGTGCCTTTTTCAGAGTAGCAAGGGGCATTGTAGAGTGTACAAACTGTCTTGGAATTCCTGAATTGAATTGTGCGCCTCTTGTCTGCTTGTTCTGAGAAATGGACTTTTTCCTTCTTCTGCTAGTTGATTGACTGTACCTGCCCAAATGAGGTGCCTACTAAATGTTGTCTGTTTTTCATTTTGGAGTTTCTTGGGGTTTTCTGCTCTGTTTTGTGATTTGGCAATTTCAATGCCTGGTGTTTGACCCTAAGGTCTTGTCCCATAAAGCTAGGAAACGTATCTTCTAGTTCACTTTAGATCACACATCAAGTTCAAACCCCAAGATTATGATGGGGATTGAGTTTAGTATACATGTTGGACGGTATTTGGGTTCCTTTTTGGAGGATGATTTACATCATACCATGTCAAGAAAGTATTATTTGTATGATTTTTCTGTGGACTTCTCTTTGTTTTCTAATCTTCTCAAACAAGGTAATCTACATGGTGTCCATACTAACACGAAGGCTACTTGTAGGCAATACTGAATTTGATCCGGATGAGGATGCTCATGTTATTGGCGACTGTGTTAAGGTTTAATTACCATCTTTCTTACGATGTCGTGCTGGCTTGGCTTTTATTTGAATTAATAATTCAATGGAGTTACCTGTTCTTCAGCATGTTCTTCGGGAGCTGCCTTCATCTCCGGTTCCTGCATCATGCTGCACTGCTTTGTTGGAATCCTACAGTAAGTTTGCATTACTTCATACTCTATAAGTTGGCACATCCCGTCTGTTTGTGTGTAAAACATTGGCTTACTGTAACGCCCCAAATTTTATTGACTTAAATTCTGGGGTGTTACCGATATCATTTCATAATGCGGAATTATTTAAATAAAATTGGAAACTTAAATTTAATTGAAGCATCAAACACTGTTTAAAATAAACACTTAAGTACAAAATCAAACATAATGTCGAGAAATCTAAACATCTAACAGAATTAAAGAAGGCAAAACATCGTAACATAATTTATTGTCAAATGTCTTTCCTTGAAATTTATTACTTGGCAATCCGCACACTGCACAGCCACCATCCACGTTGACCGATCTGACCTGAAAATATTGAATGCTGAAAGGAATGAGTAATTTGACTCAGTAGGATACGTGCGTCCAAAACAATACAATATTTCTTTAAATATAAATTTGTAACATTTCATACCATCATTTCATCAAGAGCAATCGGAGATCAATCGAAAGCTCTAGTATTTGGAGAAAACTCGAAGGAGATCTGACATTTCATTTCATTTCATCAAGACCCGTAGGTGAATTAGCAATTCGTGAGATAAATCATGTAAACATAATTAAAATATTGTAAGGACAAGAATCACTTGCACATAAGTATCCTACCTCATCAACAAATGTTGAACGGTGAAATTCAAGAATCACGTTCCGGAGCTTTGTTTGTGCCTACTGCCGTGTATGTGTATGAATATTATATTTGTGGTGAATTATGGAGTCTTTGTTCAGTATATATATAGTTGAAAAAGTATATGAATTATGGTATAATTAGGATAAAGAAATCGTGTAAATAAAGTTATGTCTTATTTCCTTGTAATGTGCTCAATCAATTGGCTGTCTTTCAATTATATGTGTGCATGCAATCACAGCCAAAGATCAATCATTGCTCAAAAATTTATTTCCTATTTCCACTAGAAGAAACGGTGGGTTGGATAAATTCATACAGTTAATTCCCTAAATCAAATATCTAATTTGCTAAAACAATTATGGTAAATCATAAGTAAAAGGAATAATTACGTAAAGTATACTATTTGATAAATGATAAGTTTTCTTCATATCCTATAAAATTTTATAATCAACATATTAATTTAATTTAGATGCAATTCATGAAGCAATAATATTAGTAAAGTACCATAATCTATTATATTAAATCATTCAAAAATTTAAGAGAAAGACAATTTAAAATTTACATGGCAACAATCTGTCTCCCCATTTTGACTTAAAACATTTAACTTTAATGAAAAGAAAACCAATTAATAACTTCTTTAATGTGCAATAACTTAGACTTCGCTTAACCGAATTAACTTTTTCTCGAGTCTAATATACGTGATTAAATACGGGCTATCTAACGAGCCCAATATTTATATATATATTATTACTCTATCAATACCTAAGTAATTGGCCCAATGAAAATTGAATTTTAAACTATTTAAATTTTAATCCCCCAACTATCAAAATATAAATTATTATATAAAACAAATAAATTTTATTCTATGAAAATTTTTTCGGGGCATTACACTTACATTCTTCAGTGTTTTAAATAATAATTTTTTTTAATTTCTGTCTTGAAAAGAAATTGATCGGAAAGAAGCACGGGTGAATGCAATGTGCTCTGTAATACGGGAGACATTTCCTGAGCCCAATAAGTGTCTGTTACAGAGGTACTCCTGGTCCACTACCTTACTCTTTACATGTTCTCATGCATCAACATGCGAGCGACCCAATATACATATCTAGTTGATTATTTGGTCCATTTGTCTCCTCTGTTTGCAAACTGCAATTCAGCTTTATGTGATGCTTTCTGTTTTCATCTCATAATCATTTGCTTTGGTTCATTGCCGGTGGAATTTTGATCATTACCAATGATGTTAGAAGAGCTTCCAACTCTTAATTTGCAGTATGTCGTCGGGGTGCAATCTTGTGATGCTTAAATTGTTTGAAATAGCTTATTTAATATTTGGCTGAATAATATTATAGTACTCTGTGCAAAATATTCTTTCCCAATTGCAAAATATATCTTAAAAACCATATAATTTTAATGTTAAAATTTTAAATTTATGTAACATTTTGTCAAAGGGGTAAATGCATCCTCTGGTAAAAGAGAAGTTGCAGTAGAGTATTTACCATTCAACGGAAAAGAATTTCAACAGTTAAAGGTACAAAAATTTAACAAAGGGTCTACGATCCTAGTGTTTTGAGTAGAGACATACAGAAGACATCATAAAGCATGCCTAGGTACACAAGATTTTTGTCTTTATTGGACTAGTTGATTTAGGTGGCATTACCTCAGGCCGAACATTTATTAGCAACCAATAATATGCTGCATTATTCGGTGATTCGACCTGTTTAGTTGAAGAAATTAGGTCAAAAGGCACAGAGAGAAGAATAACAGGAGAAATATAAAAAATCAGAATACTCTTTGATGTGGGAGGCCCTCAACAAAACCCTCCAATGCTCTTGGTTGAAGCAAACCTTTAAAAAGTCGTTGCTCTAGACCTCCCACAAGTTGAGATGTTACCATATTTTCGGAAATAGGTTCCCTTAACTTGAATATTCTTGTCAAAAGTGTGAGTATTTAATGACCGTTTAAAGATTTTAACGTGGATATCCCCACATCTCAGTAAAAGGGACAACTTCTGACACCAAAATACGGCCAAAGCTTAAATGTAAACTGCATTCCAGTGTGAGAAGGGGAATGGACATCAATTCAGGCTGAGGAAGTCGATCTCATGCCAATAATTGGTTGGTTGATAGTGGAACTAATTTGTTAACATTTTGATTAATGTTTTGGTTATGTGTTCATGTAGTTCTACCTTTCAGAAATGAAACTTCAGTTGACTTAAAATGGCAATGTCCAAATATTTTAGTGTCATTCAAATGTGTCTTTCTTACTTACACGTTGTAAACATCATTGTAACTTCTATTACATTGTTTGTGCACATATATTTCAAATTGAAACTACCAGATCATTGTAGCATGTTAATGGCGACATTTAACTGTTAACAACAATTATTATGCATGCTCAAAATCAATGTTCTTCTTGCATACAGAGTGATTGCATCTGCATTCTGGTCTGATCATGATTTTGTATTATCATCTTTTGTCATGCTGGCTTCAGTTTTGCTATCCTCATAATATATCTTCTGTATATTGTTTGTAGAATTCTTAAGATGATGCATACTATTTCCTTGCACGTTTCTGAGAATCGGATGACTCCATCTGCTGTTGCTGCTTGTATGGCTCCATTGCTCTTGCGGCCTCTTGTAGCTGGTGAATGTGAATTAGAGGATGATGTTGATACCAATGGTGACAATTCTGCACAACTTCTTGCTGCTGTGAATGCTGCTAATAATGCCCAAGCAATCATTACAACACTCTTGGAGGATTATGACAACATTTTTGATGTAAGTTACCCTTGCTTGTTGATTTTGGAAGTGCGTAGGCTTATTAGGAGATGGATTTCTGATCATGTGTTTTAAGTCGGGGACATTGACATTTTTGTCCCACTTCTTTTTTCGACTCAGTCATCGTCTTCGTTATATCTTCGTATCTACTTTTCTAGTCACCTCACAACTTACAGGCTACAGCTTATGCACAAAATGAATTCGGGTCAGATGCGCATTCTTTAGGATTTAGGAAATGTACATATCTGTTTGGTGTATTAGTTGATGCAGTTTTCAGGAAATATTTTATTCTGTTGCATTTGATCTGAATCACATGAACAGGACTTATTTTTCGGCCTCCTCTTATTGATTTAGTTGTTATACTCTGTTATAGTACCATCTGAATCGAGTGATTGAATTAGTGTATTATGTATGTGATTGTTGATAGTTTTTCATCTCTATGCTTTTTTGTTTACTGACTGAAAGGTTAGTTTTATTACTGTTTTCTAATGTGTTTCAATATTTATTATGCTTCCTTTTCAGATTGATAGTCTGCATAGATGCTCTATATCTGTGGATTCTCAAACTGAAAACGGCGGGAGTGAAGATACAACTGATGATGAAAATCTAGATATGAAAGATGATGGTTATCATGATGCTGAAAATGAAGTCGACCCTGAAACAGATGATGATTGTGATCATAGACTCGGTGGAAAGTTGAGTGAAAGTAGTGGATCTGTAGCCGGCGATCTGTATGACCATAAGGTTCTCTCTTTTCCTCCTTTTCTTTGCATGCGTGCCTATGTGCAAGCATCACTTCAAGAGTTTAAACTATGTCAAATACCTGAGCTCTACTTGGCAATTAAAAAAGCAAATCTTCTAGGAACACTCGTGCACTTTTTATATCTAGTTTCCAATGCAAAAACTACTTGTTCAGATGTATATTATTTCTTTTCAGCTTTTGGATTCTTCTCAAAGCATGTTATTAATTTTAGGATAATAAGATAGTGTTATGTTATAATAGTACAACCCTGGAACTGTGGCTCCCGTCTAGAAATGGTCAATGCGAAGAGACTACAGTTGATATATTTCCTACTTTAGGAATAAGCTTTATCTAATTATCTGTATGAGATTCCAATCTGGAAAAATGAAAGAAAGAAAAAGTTGTAAAAAAGCCTAAAATATTCAATATAATATGTTGACATTATTAATTTATACTCATTTTCATGTCAAGCATAATATAAGAACTTCTCTAGTAATCTGTGATAATTCTTTCCCTTTTTTCTTTTTCACTTCTTACAGACAGTAGGCATTTTCACAGCAACTGAAACGAGTCTCTATGCTAACTTTTTATCATGGAATGTGCACTTTCAGATCTTAAGGATTAATTTTTTAGTTCATAAATAAAAAATCACTGGGGTCTGCTCAAGTGTGTCAGCTGCAAATGTTGTGCTAGACCACCATAATCATGTGCCCTTTCAACCAATAAATTAACTTCAATATGATTTTTAATAGAACGCATAGTCTTATGGATATGAGTATTTCATTTATGGTTGTGCTACATGTACGTAATGGTTTACATAACAGATCATATACGCTGCACATTACATATTTAGAATATTTAGTGTATAATTAAATTATTCCTGTAATCATCTATTTTAGGATAGCCAGTCAATTAGAATATTTTAGTTTCCTTATTCCATGGCTCCTCCACTGTATATATATCTGTGCCTTCTGAATGAATAACAAATAGAAGAAACATTCTTTCCTTCAACACCTTTTATGGTATCAGAGCCATTGACTCACGCCTACATCAAAACACATATTTTTTTTCTCTTCCTTTTTTTTCCTTTACACCAGTCACCGCAATTACTGCTTGTTTCCTGCCGCTGTCACCATGGAATCTCAATCTACACCACAGCACGTTTCTCCCTTGGTCCAGTCCACAACTGCTGATGCCACGGCTCAACCAGTCACCATTATTGCACTCAATGTTGCTGCGCAAGCGCCATTGAAGCTTACCGCCTCGAATTATTTTTCGTGGCGCCTTCAATTTTACACTCTTCTCACCGGCTATGATCTGCTCGGTTTTGTTGATGGCACACTTCCATGTCCTGCGAAATTCATTACGGTGAATGATGCCCCAACCGCTAACCCCGCACATCACTTATGGGTGCGTCAAGATCAGCTTATATTCAATGCTATTATTGGCTCATTATCTCCGACTTTGATTCCCTTCATTGCAACCGCCCGGACGTCACGGGATGCTTGGTCGATCTTGGACCTCACGTATGGTAAACCGACGCGTGGCCGCATAACTCATTTGAAAACCCAACTCAGTAACCCAACCAAAGGCTCCCAGACAATTACAGAATTTATGTACAATATCAAGTCAAAGGTGGATGAACTTGCACTGATGAATGCCCCAGTTGACATTGAGGATCTTACCATCAAAATTCTTATAGGTCTTGATGAGGACTATACCGAACTTGCCAATGCCATTCAGGCACGTGAGACGGCGATTTCCTTTGAAGAACTACATGAGAAGCTCCTCAACCGTGAAGCTTACCTTGCTGCCAAGAAAGGTAACCAAGTGAACCTCCCTGTTACCGCCAATGCAGCTGTTAAAACTGGACCACCATATCAGTCACCTAGTCGTTTCACGGGTCTGCACCACAACAGCTCTTCTCGACCTTTTGGGACATGGACTCCCCGCCCGCCACAACCACAGAATCAACGTGGCCCTCGTCCTTACCTTGGGCGCTGTCAACTGTGTGAACAACAGGGACATTCTGCTAAGCGGTGCCCAACCCTCAAACCTCTATTATGGAATGGTTCGGTAGCACCACAGACTCCAAATAGGCCCAGTTATGCTTCTCCTCAAGCCAATGCTGCAGCCTATTCCTTTGCTCCATCATCATCAGAATGGATTCTAGACTCGGGTGCCACCCATCATGTGACTTACTCGGGTGCCACACATCATGTGACTACGGATCTTGCCAATCTCTCACTCCATTCTCCATATGAGGGTTCGAACAATGTCATTGTTGGCAACGGTGCAGGTCTGACCATTTCCCATAAAGGTTCCCTCTCTCCACCTTACAATCCTTCTTCCCTCAAATTTTCAAATGCGCTTTGTGTTCCTTCAATAAACAAGAATCTGTTATCTGTTTCTCAACTCTGCCAAACTAATAATGTTATTGTTGTCTTTACTCCCACACACTTTCAGGTGAAGGATCCTCGCACGGGGGCCACCCTCCATCAAGGTCCACTTAACGGCGGCATCTACTCTTGGTCTCCATCTTTGAATGCGTCGGCATCACCACTGGCTTTCTCCGCATCTCACGAACCTTTCTCTTTATGGCATAGTCGTTTAGGTCATCCCTCCAATAGAGTCATGCGTCATTTGTCATTGTCCAAATCCGTGTCTTGCTCTTCTAGTCCATCGAGCAATTTTCATTGTAATGCTTGTCTCTGCGCTAAAAGCCACAAATTACCCTTTCATGATTCCTCACTTGTATCCCATTCTCCTCTTGATTTTGTGTTTTCAGATGTCTGGACTTCTCCAGTTTTATCATGTGATGGATACAAATATTATGTGATTTTTGTTGATCATTATTCGAAATATATCTGGCTCTACCCACTTCAACATAAATCTGATGTTTTAACTGTGTTTAAATGCTTCAAATCACTTGTGGAAAAACGTTTCAATCGACATCTTGTCACGCTCTACACAGACAATGGTGGAGAATATATAGCTCTCCGAGATTTCCTTAGGACCCATGGTATCTCCCATTTGACCACCCCACCTCACACACCTGAACATAATGGTTTTTCAGAACGTAGACATCGCCACATTGTTGAAACCGGTCTAACGTTACTTCACCACACATCCGTCCCCTCCTCATTTTGGCCCTTTGCCTTTGCTACTGCTGTCTACCTTATTAACCGTATGCCCAAACGAAACCTGTCCATGAAATCATCCTTCGAGTGTCTCTTCCAAACACCGCCTAACTACTCCAAACTTCGGATGTTCGGTTGTCTTTGTTATCCGTGGCTACGTCCTTACACATCTCACAAATTGGAAACTCGTTCTCGTCCTTGTGCATTTCTTGGTTACTCCCTCACTCAAAGTGCTTACCTATGTTATGATCTCTCGTCTCAAAAAATTTTTGTCTCTCGTCATGTTGTGTTTGTCGAGTCTGAATTTCCTATCCAATCATCCCCTTTGGCCAATGCTGATGTTGACTCTCACAGTAGAATGTCGGATAAGGTACCATCGAATGTAGCTGAGGGGGCCTCTGTGCCGAGTAATCCTTTGCCGATTCCCCAGCCCTCACCCACTGCCAAAGTTACTCTGCCTATTTTATCTTCCAATCCTCTATCCAGAGATCCCTCAACATCCCCTCTATCCATCCCGCACACCACTCCTCTTGGGGTATCTCCCGTGACCTCCCCTCCCAATACCTCCCACCAGCACCCTTTATGTCATACCTCACCGGCTTCCCCACTTCCTTCTCTCCTCCATCCAATGGTAACTCGATCTAAAAATAACATCGTCAAACCAAATCCAAAGTACAGCCTCACTATTGCTACTGACTTTGCCACCACAGAGCCTACCTCTCACACTCAGGCTCTCACTAATCCGCATTGGCGTGCCGCTATGTCCGATGAGTTCAATGCTCTGCTTCGCAATGGTACATGGAACTTGGTACCTCCTGATATGTCTCAGAATATAGTTGGTTGTAAATGGATTTTTCGTATCAAACAGAAACCTGATGGCACCATAGATCGCTACAAGGCATGGCTTGTAGCCAAGGGCTTTCATCAACGACCAGGGCTTGATTTTCATGACACGTTTAGCCCAGTAGGTAAGCCCACCACAATTCGGGTTCTTCTCTCTTTAGCAGTTTCCCGAGGTTGGTCTCTTCGTCAGATGGATGTTAATAATGCCTTTCTTCAAGGTCCACTAGATGAAGATATCTTTATGTCCCAACCACCAGGATTTATTGATCCTAATCTTCCCAACCATGTGTACAAGCTCAACAAAGCAATTTATGGTCTTAAACAAGCTCCTCGAGCGTGGTACACTGAATTGCGTCGCTTTCTTCTTCAGGTTGGCTTTACAAACTCCCTCTCAGATGCATCCTTATTTATTTATCATCATAAGGAGACTATCATGTATCTTCTGGTTTATGTTGATGACCTGATTCTTACTGGGAGTGATAAGTTGGCAGTCCAACATTTTATTGATCAGTTGGGTTCTCAATTTTCGATCAAAGATCTGGGTGCTTTATCATATTTCCTTGGTGTTGAGGTTGTTTCATATCCAACGGGCCTATTCCTCACCCAACAGAAATATCTTCTGGATATCCTCACCAAACACAACATGGAGAACTCTACACCTGTTCAGACGCCGCTGGCTACCTCCTCTTCCCTGCAGCTCCATGATGGCTCTCCACCTGCGGATGCCACACTTTATCGTCAGGCCGTTGGTAGCTTACAGTATCTACTCATCAGTCGTCCTGACATTGCCTTTGCTGTCAACAAGTTATCCCAGTTCATGCATGCTCCAACTGCTCTTCATTGGGGCGCTGTTAAGCGTCTCCTTCGGTACCTCAATGGTACACGGTCCTATGGTATTCGGTTGCAGCGCAACAGCTCTCTGTCTCTTCATGCCTTCTGTGATGCTGATTGGGCGGGTAATCTTGATGATCGTACCTCTACAGGTGCCTATATTGTTTTTCTTAGTCCTAATCCCATATCCTGGAGTTCAAAGAAGCAACGATCTGTTGCTCGTTCTTCCACAGAAGCCGAGTATCGAGCAATTGCTTCTGCCGCTGCTGAACTTCAGTGGATTCGCTCACTACTTGCGGAACTTGGTCTCCCTGTTAGTGTTCCGCCAACTCTCTATAGTGACAACATTGGTGCTACTTATTTATGTGCAAACCCGGTCTTTCACTCTCGCATGAAGCATATCGCACTAGACTATCATTTTGTTCGTGAACTCGTGCAAAGTGGTCGCCTTCGCGTCTCCCATGTCTCTTCTGCAGATCAGTTGGCAGATGCACTAACTAAACCGCTCTCTCGTTATCGGCTTCGGGATCTTTCTATCAAGATTGGTGTCTCCACTGGAGCCCCATCTTGAGGGGGCCTAACAGATCATATACGCTGCACATTTAACTTCAATATGATTTTTAATAGAATGCATAGTCTCATGGATATGAGTATTTCATTTATGGTTGTGCTACATGTACGTAATGGTTTACATACACATAATGTGATGAGATATGATTGAGTCAGAATTTCTTGAATAAAAAAACAAACTTCTCCGCTCTCTTTTTGATACCTCATTTGTATGTAAACCATTATGTAACTCTGTTAAGTACAAGTACCATTATTCTTTCATTTATACTGTAGACTTATTCTTGTAACTTCGATGGTTTGAACATTTTCTTTTAAAATTATTTACCATGGTTGCAATTTGACTTCGCATTTTTTATTTCCAGGTCAATGGAAATGACGATTCAGAAATTGGCACAGAAAATCATACTCTGAGAACAAAATCAAATATAACAGTAGACCCAAAACCTCTTAGAAATTCTAACATCTCAATTAATGAGCAACTGGGCCAACAGATGGAGGCTTGTGAAAACTTGACAGATTTTTCTACAGATTTACCTGGCAATGAGTCTCAACGATCCTTAGGAGAAATTTTGTCATCTATGGATCAAGAACTACATCTATCTGTTCATGGACCTGAGACATTGGTTGAGAAGTCAGCTACCAAACATACAAATTGCAATCTCAATGTCAAGAGCTCAACATTTTGGGGAAGAAAAAATGTAGGTTTTCCCGTTGATTTTTTGTCTTGATGCGATTTATTTATTTATTTATTATTATTATTTTTGGATAATGAAACGTTTGAGAATTAGAATAGCAGCAGAAGCGCCCTGAAGGGTGGGATTGTTTTTTTGTTGTTACTTACCTACGGAGGAGGAAACTTCACATTAACCACAACAAAGTGATCATAATTGAGAATGAATTCTATGTGCAACCTAATCAAATTGCTCAGAATTTGACTTAACTGGTTAGCTTTTCTTGAAACTTGTTTAACTTTGAAATCATTTCCCTTTTTTTCGTATATAAAGATGGAGGCAACGGACATTGATTATTTTTACCTTCAGGTTTTTGTTTTCCCTAAATGAAACATTTTCCCATTTCGTATATATAGAAAAACACATACTCAAACATTTGTTAGTAAACTCGTCAAATATTGTTCATAACTGTAATCCTTTTCCTTTCCCCCTATTATGGGCCTCGATCTGTACCTTCATAGCTTGTTTTTATTGGGCCAGCATGAGATAATTTAAATTTCTATGTTCATTTTATTGCTGCTCCTGCAAAGTCCTTTTTAAGAGATTGGAATCCAAATATTATATGCTTTAAGCATACTTGGGTTATCACATCTTATTTGAGTTTTCGAAGCCAGTCCGTTGAATGTTAACTTGTTTGTGCCTTGATGAGCCAAATTTTATAGAAGTGGTGGTTGCATTAATGCTATTTGGATTGTAGGTTCCCCAGAATGATGGATCATGAAAATTAGATATAGCATATAAAATTGATTATAGGAACCAAGATAATTTACTAATGCTAGCTCAAGGTTATTTTTAGTTTTTTTCCTTTCATTTATCTGGTCTGATACTTTTCTTCTCGCAGACCCAAAAATCACCTTCAATGGAATCTATTGATTCTTCTGGGGAGGAAGAGTAAGATTATCTTATCTTACATATTGATGTGTTATGCAGACTCTGCCAAGTTTTTGTCGTCCACTAAGACCGTGTGATATAATATGTCACAAATTTTTACTTGAGCACACCAAAGATCTGCTTTAATTGAGATTATTCTTGTTTCTTTTTAAAATTGGTTTGATTTCTAGGATAAGTAGTAGGAGATTGTCTCCATCTTTCCTCCCTGACTCAAAAGGGGAACATTATTGTTTAAAATTTCAAGTCTTGGTTTTGATGGTCAAAGAGCTAAATTTATTGCTTGAAATTCGTAAACATGGGCTGCATTATGTTTCTATGAGGTTCTTTTGATTAGTAATATGTTTGGTGTTGCACAATAATCATTTTTCTTGTCTTTACTTCTATGCTGTTTTAGTCGTGTCTTTAGATGTAGAATTTCACCATATTCCCTTAGTTAACCTGCTTTATTATTTATGTTGTAAAGATAGGAAATTTGAGTGTCACATTATGACATGATGTTATTGACAAGACTTTACTTGTTGCTTATGGATGTATATCTAATAGATTGAAACAACAATGTTACAAACTGAGCCTTATTCCCATGCATCCTAGTCGCCACTCCGTTTGATCCGTTGCTACATTGACCGAATGATTTAGTGAAATCAAGCCATTTGCAACCTCATCAAGCCATATTATTGCTGGTCTATCGCATCACTCTCATAAAGAAGAGCTTTGTTAGTTTTATGCAAGACATGCCCTCATCATCTCTGTCCTTCACTTTGTTGTCCTCAATGTTGCCATCTCCACTTATTATGTACCTTCATTTTTATCCATTCTTGCATGTTCACACCTCCATCCTTATTTTTTTATGTTCATCTTATAGAAATTCTGTACTCCGATGACCCCGAGCAGTTCTCCATTTCGTGAAATCCACTCTAAATATTTGCATTGCATCCTCTGCCATTCTTCCTTCCTTATTAGCAATTAAATCTAAATACCTACTTCTACTTCTGTATTTGTCTAAGAAGATCCCGTGTTAAATTTTTCCCTTTTTTTTTCTACTTTTTTCTTTGACCGTCTGCTTACGAACAATTCATTACTATACCAGTTTTCCCATGCTTTCTTTTTGGCAAGCCGTGGAGGACTCCTCCATCGGCGGAGTTCATCCTTTTGGTTTGCCTTTTCAATTAAATGTGATGATTTTGTTTGCAGACTTGCCATCCAGAGATTAGAGCTTGCGAAGAATGATTTACGTCACAGGATTGCTAAAGAGGTAAATGTAGCTTTTAGCAAGTGCTCTTGCTGAGTATCACCTATATAATGTTTGCTCATACGATATGATTGCTCATCCATGTTAGGCAAGAGGAAATGCAATTTTGCAAGCTAGCTTGGAGAGAAGGAAGCAAGCTCTGCACGAACGTCGTTTGGCACTCGAACAGGATGTATGTGTTGGTTCTACCAATTCAAATATAACTGTTTTTTCCATAACATTTTTCAATAATTAAAATTGAGCTGCTGCTTGTTAGCCCTTTCAAGTTATGATGTATAGTAAATTACAACCACTTTGCTTCAGATTTCGGCAAAGTATGGGGCCGGTCCTCAGCCAATTCCTAATAAAAAATGTCAATAAATACTTGATTTTGAATCTTTATTTTCTAAGGAACTACTCCATGTAAACAGACAATTGCAACCTTTGCAGGAGTTGGTTTCAGGCCACTTCCTCTCTTTTTACACTCTTGCTCTTGAGCGCTATCTCATGTTCAGGAGTTAGCTGGATCTGCACGATTGCTTGAAAGGGTCAAGTGATTTTGATATTGATATTACAATTATGATGTCTAGTTTAGAACTATGAATCCAATTTATATCATTCTTTTTGAGGAAGTGAATCATTAAACAAAAACTGAAGTAATTTGTTCTATTTTATGTATTCTCGGATGAGGCTTTGTCATTGCTTTTGGTTCAATCTGTCAAGCTTTGTTTGCCTGTATTTAATTTTTTATCACATCGAATCTTATTATAGCTCACTTGGACTTAAACGTCATTCTTAGCCTCATAGCACAAATATGAATATTTTTACTTCTTAGTAACCTATATATGTGATTTGACTTGTGAGTTCACGAGGGGACTATTATTCTAGTTTGCATTTTTTTCCTTATGTTATTTTTCTTAAATGCTGTGTTGCTGCATTATACATTTCAATTCAAAGTATTATCCCTTAAAAAGGGTCTGCACAGGCCTCGGCTCGGATACACCTCTAATTAGGGCTAGTTTTGTAGTACTAGGGTGATTATTATCTCCTTACTCATCTCTTATTTGAAAATAAGGCTTCTCATTGGAGTTCACTGACTTGTACAATCATGGCCGTATTTCCCACATTGACTACATAACATTCTTGCTGTTTTGTGAGTGTGTTCGGTATTGGGATGATGCAATATTAAACAGTTCTACGTAGTGCTTATAAGCTAATTCTTCTTCCGTATCCTTGAATAAAAATTCCTGCAATTTTTTCCTTTCAGTTTGGGTGTGGGCAACTTAGAGCTCTATTTGTATATCTGAGCGACTTTCATCTCCTTTCTTGTCTCAAAACTTTGAGAAGAAGTCTTTCATTGGACTTTAGTGGCTTGATAGAATCATGACACATATATATGCGCGCGTGTGTGTGTGACAAAGAGGTGGATAACTACTTATGTCGTTGTGGTCATATGACTTCTTGAGCATTAATGTTTAATTTCTGTGCTCCTTCGACACTTTTCCCTGAGAAAGTTTGCAGTATCGGAAACGTACTTTGCTGCCATACACAACCTTATCTGTGCCTATCCCTTCAGTGCATGCCGATTCACTTTGTTGGCTTCTATCATAGGTTGGAAGACTGCAAGAACAGTTGCAAGCTGAGAGAGATTTACAGGCCGCACTGGAAGTTGGCTTGAGCATGTCTTCTGGACAGTTTTCTGGCACTCGTGGAATAGATTCTAAGGTACTTGTCAATCTTCAAAACCTCCAATTGTATAACAGTTTTGTAGAATTTCTTATATGTTTCATGAACTATGAAGACAAGGGCCGAGCTTGAGGAGATAGCTCTTGCTGAAGCAGATGTGGCCAGATTGAAACAGAAAGTTGCCAAACTTCACCATCAGCTAAATCAGCAATGTCAGCATCAATTTGGCTCTCTCTCTGATGAACGGGATCATTATCAGGATGCTGCCAATCATAGTTCACCAAGGTGAGTCAAAATCCAGTTATTTCGTCTCTACACGCTTTTAGTTTCTTATGGACTTGACATGTTTCTTGTACCAGAATATATAGCACGCCAATATCTTATCTTCCCGTGCAGGAAATATTTTCAGCAAGATTTTGACACGACCCTTGCTTTTATTAACCATGAAAGAAAACAAAGAACTGAGGTGGTTGTACATGTTTATGTGTTTATTCATTTATTATAATGGTTGTCACACACCCAAATTTCTGCCTTTTTTTCCCGTCAAAATTAAACGAACAGAGATTATGAAGGGACGTTAGAAAAGTGCAAGTATTCAATCATTTCAATTCTTTTGTTCGTATAGCATTATTATATTGGTAACAAATGTTCTCATATTACAAATTCGCAAAAAGGGGAGTCGAAAGACAATAGACAGTGGCCATTAGCGGGGTTGCAGTATACTATAGGAATCTGCTGTCCTTACAGCTTGAGATCATAACTTGATTGAATTGAATTAGACTCTTCATTGTCTGATCATTCTTCAAACTGGGACTTGCATCCTCAACCTATCCTACACTACCCAGAAATTTGCTTTAAAGTCAATGGATCCAGCATTTGGGGATCCAAAAGTCGTTTTAGCTGACGGTAATGGAATTCAACAAAATGAAATTGCCTATGTCCTTTTGAACATTTGGATGGAATACTATAAGTTTACAGTTTTGTAATACGTACTTTTGTCCTTATTGATTCCGGTTTATGGATATGATGCTCAAAATCTTAGTGGTTGCAGGAGTTGTTAGGGGCAGATTTGAGGAATATTAAGGGGCAGGTATTAACATCTGGCAGCAGCAGTAGTAGGAAGCCTGCCCGGAAGCCGTTCATAGATCCACCAAGCTTGAGTGATTCTAAAAGTAATAAGGTGTCCACGAGTTTATCTATGGGCGACCTTTGTGCTGTCGATTCTGCATCCATACCTTCTATTTCTAGGGCAGCAGAGGTAAGACTTGGAAATATTTTTCCAGGCCTTTGGCCTACCCCTAAACTAAAGGCTAGAAGCCTGAAGACTAAGCCTCTTAGAAAAATATAGGATAGGAACCAAGACAAGTGATCTTCAGGCTGAAAAAACCAATGATTTCATATTCCCATTGTATTATCGAGTTCTTATTTTTATATAAAATTTGTATTTTGTGCAGCCCTTATGGGGGGAGGGGGTGAGCATTACTCAGTTCCAGAACTCTTCTTTAAACCCGTTTGCTTTAGTTAAAAATCAGATTTTGATAAAAGTTGAAGAAATCTATGGTTGAAAAATTATGAAAGTTGTGGATTCCATAAAATGTATAGTTGAAAATGAGTTCGAGTATATTACATTATTGGACCTCAAGGTATTGCTTTGAGTAGCAGTTGGTTCTTAACATTATATTATAGATGCACAAAAGTCCGAACGACAAACCGTCAAATCTCTATTATAACATTGCTCTTTCTTATCCAATTTTGAGTTTTGATCCTAAGTTCCTATACTGGTTGCAGGTGATGGATTATCCGAGACATCCCTCAGCAGCATCCTCGACCTCGGTAGAATTGACAACGCGTCTTGATTTCTTCAAGGAAAGGAGGTCTCAGCTAATGGAACAACTCCATGGCCTGGATCAAAACTATGCAGCAAAAACTCAAAATTTTCTTTATAAACCCTCATCTCCTCCCTGGAACTGATCACAGCTCCTATAAGTGTATCAATAACAGCAGATAACTAACATATTCTTTGTGCAATAGTATTTATATGCCCGTATTTCGAGTTTTATCTATTTACTCGGTATTTTCTCTACTTCTATTCGTACTGTTTTTGGAGAATACCTAAGAATGTAAATTAGTTATCTACGGCTTGGAATCCACTTTTTAATAGTAAAACGATCTTTTGTTTGTATGCAGAGTTTGTAAACCAAATATTTTTGTTTGTTAAAATATATTGAGTTTGCTTGGGAGGGATTTTTGGGGGAAGAATTGATTTTGAATAGTGATATGATGAGAAATGTGTGGTTGAAAGAGAAGAAGAAATTATTGATGTAATGAAAAATATTATTTTATTGAAGAATGTGGTTAAAAATGATAATTGATTTACTGTAGAAAAATCTAAATCCCTCCCAAACAGGACCATAACATATAGTTTTTGATTCTGTTAATTCGATCTTAGGCCGATCGTTGGCTTGGTTAAAATTTAATGTTGTAACTATTATGGGTAACTCGGATTCATGCATGTTAGCACCAACTTTTTGGTACAAGAAACTGCAACAAATAAGCCAGACGTTTAGAGCTTGTTTGGGAGAGATTTTTGAGGGAAGAATTGATTTTGAATAGTGATATGATGGAAAATGTGGTTGAAAAAGAAGAAAAAATTATTGATGTGATGAAAAATATTATTTTATTAAAGAATGTGTGGTTGAAAATGAGAATTTGATTTGCTATAGAAAAATCTAATCCCTCCCAAACAGGCCTTAATATAATCTAAATCAGAAGTTACACTAAAACTAACAAATGTACAGTACACAGGCAACAGAAACTAAATCTGGATAGGCACAGCACGGGCAACATACTAAAAAAGCCCAGCCTTTTAAAGTCGTCCTAATATCCTTATTCCACAAAAAAACGCATTGACATACTGTACAAAACACTTGGTGGCCCCAGACAGGTTTGTTCACCCTCAGGTGCGACCTAACCGAACCAAATGATGCTGATGCTTTGCAGCGGCTGCCTTGTCGGCAGCTTCACGCTTCAGGGCCCGTTTTGCACGTCGGCCAACAGTTTCTTTAGCAGCAGCAGCTTCTTTCTTCTTCGGCTGACGAGATGGGCCAGCACCGGAATCCTGAAAGTTTGGTCGAGAAATTGGTCGTGCTTCTTGCCTTCCTCCCCTAACATACCCGTTGTCTCCCCATCTTCGATTACCAATGCGGAGACTAGAGGAACTACCCAAGAAGATATCTTCATCCGCGTCCTCGTCCTCGTAATAATAATCTTCGACTTCTACATACACCTCTTCTCGTTCCACCACAATCAAAGGCTTGAACCATGAGGCTCTTAGGAGGAGGCAGACACTCTCTTCAAACATGTAATCGTGTATGCTGTCAAAATGGGAACAAAATTCTCATCTTATGTTTTCAGTTGGAATGAATTTTTAGCTGAAATCAACCAGATCAAACTCGTTATCCATATCGCCGACAAAACTAACTAATGAAACAATCCTCTAGGTATATCCAGACAAGAATAAGAACTTGTATTAGAAGGTCACTGCATACCACATATACATGCATTAGTTAATTTGGATTTATCCAAATCAGTGGTAGAATGGCATCCAACCAGTCTACAAGATGATCGAGAATAAGAATCCTCAAAAGATATAGGGATCCGAAGTTAGATTCAACAGAGTCTGGTCCCAAAAAATCCTATATAATAATCTCTGTTTTTGTTTGAATATAGTTACCTCAATGAACATATTGAACATGTGTAATTCTGTCATTGAACATAAGTTGCCTGGAAAATCAGAAACTACACATATTCCCCCAATAAAATAAAAACAAGACAAAAAGGGTGTGTGTCTTTTTCAAAGTGCATGATTACTCGAAATAAATCGTGTCAACAACCCTTATCATACTAGTAAAAAAATTAAGAAGGTATTTGGTGGGGATTAAAATTAGATTTTTAGTGGATTGAGATATAAGTTTTTGAAATGTGTAGTTGAAAAAATGTGGGACCCATGAAATATGTGATTAATATTGATTGTTTGACTTTGACTTGGATTAATATCAGATTTTAATTCAGGCCCTAAGGCTTGCTAACAATTTAATTGAAGGAAAGTGAGAAATGCTAAAATACCATCCGTCTAGTGAGCGGTGGATATTCAGAAACTCGAACGGATTTTTACACTGCGGACATGTAGGTTCCTTTTTGTAAGAGGCCCATCGCAGGATGCATGTGACACTGACCAAAAAATAAAAAGAACATCAATTGTAATCATAATGGCATACCATTTATTCATTATTAGGTAACCAAAACATGTTCTCACTTCAAAACCAAGAAACATTCTCATTGGAATCAATAAAAACAATTAGTAACTACTGATTAGAATATCACATTCTTCAATAAAAGCTACCTTGCATTTGCCAAGATTTCAAGCTGAAGGAGCAATACATTATTATATTAAGCCCTTGTTTGATAAAATTTATCATCAGTCAAAATTTAATTTTAACGACACATTTCCTGTGACCCACAACTCTTATCAACTTTTCAACCAGCCATTTCATTTTTATCAAATCTGTTAAGAATTTTATTATAAGCTTTGTCACACAACCCATAAATAGAAAAGAAATGAAAAAAAAAATGGAAATCTCAAATGAATATACATGCAATGATTATAACATATTTAGGAATTGCTTTTCATAAATGAAGTGGACCGGTCATTACCAATAAAGTAAAAATGTGCGAGAAAGATGTGGTCATTCGAATAATAAAATATGAAAGACTAATCAAACTTAAGTACTTGCATTTCGTAATGTAACATTTAAATGTGAGAATCAGAAAGGTGAACTATGTTTCAACCCTTCTGTCTTCTTACACAGAAGCAGAAGTCAAGATACCTTTCTTAGATGCATTTTTTGGAAGGAGAGAGCAGGCAAAGGTGAAGAAAAGAAAATATATGAAAAGAAAAATGACATATTATTCAGGTGTGCTGATCATAAAGATATCACCTTCTGCAGCAATACAAACCAACAAAAAAAATCTAAAACTATGCATGGAGCAGATATTTTAAATCCCATCGCCATAATCAGATTATTATAAAGTTTGCACCTTCTCGTGAAGATTATGGTTGCACGGTCATGATTACCCATTTGTAGCTAGAAAAAAAAATGCAAAAAGCATGAGCTGGGATAATACACCAGATGCCTTAGCGAAATGAATAGCTCTAGAAGCATGTATACAGGTTCATAATGAAGGATGTGATCTAGTTTCTAAGGCTTCTATTTAAAAAATATACAATTTCTATCAAAATAAAGGGGAGTCTAATGTTGAACCCAATTCCTGATGCTTTTTGTTTTACCATCATCCATAAAAATCCAAAACCTAATTCTTGATTCAGAATAAACTTCTCTACCATTTTACTTCTCTTACAATGCCTAGAGCAATACCTGGAAAATGCTTTTAGATAAGACATTAAGATGTGAACCTTTGAGCTCTAGCTCATAGATGTTTTTATTTTGCAAATCATCACCTAGCAAGTTATATTTATTAATTTATGCACCACACACCTTAAATTTCATATCCTAGAAGTAGCTATTTGAATATAAACTTCAGATATTCTCCAAGACGTCAACTAACTTAAATGCATCCAGTAGGTGAACTTTACTAGAAATAAATCTAAGCTGACAAAATCTGATAGACCAACTCATTGTTTCATTGGATACATCCCTCAACATATGAGTCACCCAGCAGCAAGGGGAGTTACAGTTGTCATACGCTATAGGCCCAGCAATAACATATATGTCACTGAATTTCGTAATGATTCATGCAAACAATAAGCGTAGCACGAAAATACAAGTAAATATCTAATTAGGAGATTCAGACAAACCAGTAGGCATGCTCGCAACCTTTTATGAGGGCAGTTTCTGCAAGAACTATCTTATTCAAACATATTGCACAAAAACCATGATGATTATTGTTGTTAGTATTGTTAGTCTCAGCCATAACTTGGTTAATGTCCTCTGGTGCTGCCGTACAAGTTCCCTCCATTTTACACTGAAATGCACAACATTAACTCAGTCAACGTACAAAACCAATGTAATTATTTATTCTAAAAATGCAAACATAATATTCACATCCCAAGCATATGAATATTGTAACTGTTGGGACCTGCCAAACTCCACATTGGTATGATATTGTTCGCCTTGGCCCTAGGCTTTCACGAATTTGCTTTTGGATACTACCCAAAGGCCTCATACCAATGGAGTACTGTCCTACACTTATAAACCCATCATATTTCCCATATCTAGCCGATGTGGGACTTCTTTTACTTCCAACAATCCTCCCTTCAAACGCAGGCCCACATCATTGTGGCCTCCCCTCAAACGATAATCCATCAGTCAATCATCTTGTACCGTCGTTATTGTCGTCACCAACGGGACCCGCCGTTGTTTGCCGCAACAATCCTCCCCTCAAACGAAGGACCACATCATTGTGGCCTCCCCTCAAACGATAATCCATCAGTCAATCATCTTGTACCGTCGTTATTGTCGTCACCAACGGGACCCGCCGTCTGACCACCATATTTTTATGTCGGGAAGACTTTCGATACAAGGCACCTCAAACGCTAATGATTTATAGCCGGACGCAAGGTTAATTAGGGAGGACCTTGTTCCTCCGGCTAAATTTTTGGGCCCTGGGATCTGATACTACTTGTTCGGACCCGACAAACTCCATATTGGTATGATATTGTTCGCTTTGGGCCCGAGCACTCACGAATTTGCTTTTGAATACTACCAAAAGGCCTCATATCAATTGAATATTGTCTCACACTTATAAACCCATCATATTTCTCATGCCGATGTGAGACTTCTTTTACTCCCAATAGTAACCATTTATAATTAATTGATTATATCTAAGCAATACTGAAACCAAATCTTTATATATTCCCTTTCACCTCTGATACGAAGAAATCGATCTTTCTAACTAATTTTAACAATTTAAAGAAAAAACAGACCCCATCAGATCAAAACCACATAAAACTCTCATTATTATCCATTCAGACGATCTAAAAGAAGAAACATTACATCCCGAAACCAAATTAAACCCGCAGAACAAAAATTCGCAGCTTTCTTTTCATCATTTCTTGGAATACCAATAAAAAATTAGGTCAAAAAATTTGAACCTGTTCTTGGATTGAGAGACCCTGAATATCCACCACTTCATCTTCTGCAGACATGACGATTTTCTTCTAATCTAAATCTACAAATAAAATAAAAACCTAAACTATAAAATGAAAATATGAATATATACAGATAGATTTTATAGAATATATACAGATAATATGATGTATAGAGAAAGGGAATCCAGAGAATGATTCTGGTTGCAGAACCAAATGCAAGAA